TTATTTTTCTATTTCGGATATCATTTGGCATATACTTAACAATTCATCACTATTTAATAAAATATACTTTGGTCCAGGCCAAGAAGTCGCAAAAAACTATAAACTCTGGCATGGTAAAATTTGAAAAGAGTTGCCAAGATTTGGTTGTGAGTCTGTTGTTATAGGCGAAGGTGATTTTTTTTTACATTTTAATTTTTTTTAATTTTTAATATCATTATAAAGTAATAGATTCTATTTTATAGTAAAATATTATTCTGGAGACTTCGTAGTTTATAGAGAATCTACAAAAAGGATTGGCTGTATTTTGTCAATAGTTCAAAAAGATAATAGTCTTAAAATCAATATCCAACACATTCTAATATTTGAAGAGTTGCCGATAAATCTGCAAAGTAATAGTCGTAGAGAAAGATCGTTGGACGGTGAAGTATAGATGCTAGATCAAGGAGTAGATAATGCAATTATTATTATCGAATTGCAAGCAGTTGTCAAACGTGTTATAGTCACAATATTGTATGATAGTGACATAAATAACTTTTCTTCTATCATAATTCGCAAAATATTATATAAGCACAATAATAAATAGAAATTGAGAAATATAATATATTCTTATCAGCATCCTTCAAATTTTGCTGCATTAAAAGAATATAATACGAATCTACCAATTTATAAATTGTACATAAATATTTACTATGATGATTTTGGAATATTTCACAATGTTTACTATTTGTTAGGTGGAGTCTATGTTCAGATAGGAAACATGCCCTTTGATCAAAGAAAACAACTTAAGAACTATTTTGTACTTGGATTTGTACTATTTGGTGGTTCATTTAATGAATTCATTAAACCTTTCATTGTTGAGATGAAATATTTTGAAAAAGGAAAGGTAATGGATGTACAAGATAATAAAAGTCTTGTAATCGGGATGTAACTTCCGACTTGCCACAGGGCAATGATTTAGTTGGAGTTAAAAGACATAATGCCACAAGGGGCTACCGTACTTGTAGTACAGAAAAAAATACTGGACGTCTGATAATATTGATTTGTTGATAAGTTATCATTATCAACATTTACCGGCTAAACAATTTGAGAAGATTTCTTCAGCATTAACAATAACTGAACACAAAGGAATCTCAGCACAATACGGATTGCACATGTATCCTCCAATACTAAGCAAATTGCTATGGAAAAGCTATCTTCAATCACCACATGATGTATATCATGTAACAGCTGACAAAGTGTTGAGGCTTCTTAAAATGATGGTCAATGCACTTTCGACAGAAGGACAATCAGCATTTATTACGATTTGGAAATCATTTGAGTATCTAAAAAATTGGTCGAAAATGCCAAATCTAGTTTCACATATTGATAGTTTTATGATGTCTGATTGTTTAAAATTGGCTATAGTGGTTTCTTTTATTATTAATAGATTATTAAGATCTCAATATTTTAAACAGTTTGAGCTTTTCAAATTATAACAATGACTAGGTTTTTCACGTAATGATTTGGTCATAAAATCCTGGCTAAAATGTTGGATAATAGTGTCGAAGACAACAAGGATCTTATTTAAAAAGTATTTTTCAAAGGATAGTGGTAAATATTAACAAGAATTTAATAAATAAATTTTTCAAATGCATACTTACGTAGAACTTCTGCATCAAATGTAATACAGTTTTACATTTTACTTGAAATACCTAAAAACGATCACTATTTAATCTGTGTATTGTAAATTATATATTGAATTAATTTATTTAATCAAATTATATTTATCAATTATACGTACTGTGTCATCTAGCGATGAGAATTTCTAATTGTTAACTATATAAATCATGTTAACAATTAAATTGTTAAAATGATTTATATATAAATTTATAT